TTCTTTGGGATAGAGTCTTGTGTACTCCAGGATGGCCTGAACTTACTATGTAACCAAGGATGTACTTAAATGTCTGATCCTTCTATCTCCTTCTAAGTGCTGGGATTACAGGTGTTCACCAATTCTGGCTTTTAAAAGTTAATTATTTTTTAGCCTTTTGAGACAGTGTCTCTCCATATAGTCATGTGTTGGCCTGGTACTCACTCTGTAGCCCAGGCTGGCCTTGAACTTCTACTCCTGCCTCTCCCTTCAGAGTTCTTTATTATAGCCAAGTGCCACTACACCCAGCATTTCAGGGTATTTTAATTTCACTTTTAGGATTAACTACATCCTTTTTCTCTTACCTATAGTTCACTTAGCCGCCATGGAAGGACACCTTCATTGTTTTAAATTCCTACTCAGAATGAGCAATGGAGCACAGGCTCTAAAAGCTTTCAATGATAATGGAGAAAATGTATTGGACCTGGCCCAGCGGTTCTTGAAACAGAACATTTTACAGTATATCCAGGGTGCTGAATATGAAGGAAGTAATTCAGATGATCAGGAAAGTAAGTAATTAACCAAAATATTTTAGCATATAATGATAATAGTCAATAGAATATGAAGACAACTTATAAGGCAAATGTTACATTGAAATGTATCATGTAATGTCATCCACACATGCATTCAGATTCTTTATTATGAAGTATTTTAGACAAACACATGTAGATATTAACATAAAGCACACTGTGTCATAGAACTTAAAGGCATACACGTTTAGTGCAAGCACTTGGGAGGCAGAGACAGACTCTCTCTGAGATCTCTGTGAGATCAAAGCCAGCCTAGTGTACATAGCAAGTGGCAGGTCAGGTAGGGCTATAAAAAGACCCTGTCTAAAAACCAAAAAACAAAAACAAAACTAAAAAAAGGAATACACTATTACAGAGTTGAAGCATTTAGCTCTCTCCCTAATACTTTTTCCTTAAGGGTAAAGTGTTATATTGGATTTATTATTCCTTTTTGTGGTTTTATGTCTTACTCATATATATATATGTATATATAAATATTATATGTAATTTTAATTATATTGATTTTTCTCTGATATAATTTTCTCTCATAAGTAGATTGTTCTTTTCATTTTGATTATGATACCTTTAAACTCAACGGACTGGAGAGAAGGCTCAATGGTAAAGAGCACTGGACCAAGTTTGGTTCGTAGCACTCAGATGGTAGTTAACAACCACCTGTAACCCCAGTTCTTTGGGATCCAATGGCCTCTTCTGACCCCTGCAGGCATTGCACACATGTGGCGCACTTACATGCAGATGAACACATATAAAATAAAATAAAATTTTAAAAATTAAAAGTCAACCTTATGAATTACTACAGTTAAACTGGTGTTCAGTTTCATTATTTTTGACATATATATATTATATATATACTCATCATTCTATCATAATAGTCAAGGCGCAAAACATTTCCATCACACAAAGGCTTTCTCATGACTCCTTTTAGCTTGCCTCTCCTTTCACCCTGATCCCATATAATCACTGGTCTACTTTCTGCTATTACAGATTAGCTTGACATTCTCTAGAGTTTTACATGTAGAATAATTTTTCAATTTTATACATGTTGTATTTTTAATTTATTTCCTTTTAAAAGATATTTATTATTATTATTATTATTATTTGGTCTTTTTGAGACAGGCTCTCCCTGTAGCCCATGATTTTTATGTGTATGAGTGATTGCCAATGCACATGAAGGTCAGAAGAGGGCATCCGATCTCCTGGAACTGGAGTTACAGACAGTTGTTAGCAGCCATGTGGGTGCTGGAAACTGAACCTTGGTCCTCTGCAAGAGCAGCCAGTTCTCTTAGCCACTGAGCCATATCTCTAGTGCAATTTATTCCCTTTTATTACTGAGTTGTATTTCGTTATCAATTTACCTGTGGTGAGCATTTGGATTGCTTTCAGTTTGGAGCTTATTAAGTTGCTATTATATTTACATAGACATAAATTTCTGTTTCTCTTGGTAAATACCTAGGACTGGGGCATATATTCAAGTTTAGATTTAAGGAGCTTTTAAACTGTTCTCCAAAATATTCCCCATTCTTGTCCACATATTATGTAGTCAGTCCATTTTGTTTAGCCATTTTAATGGTTGTGTAGTATTTTCTTATTGTAGTTTTAATTTAAATTCTTTGATAGCTGATGTTAAGCAACTTTTCTTTTATTTATTGGCCATTCATATATATCTTTTAAAATGAAGTATCTCTTTAGTTCTTTTGCATTTTTAAAAATTAGACTTTTCTATTTAATATCAAATGCTTAAGAGTTCTTTGTATATTTTGAACATAAGTTCTTCATTAGACATGTGTATTGCAAATGTTTTCTCCTCTTCAGAAGTTGTCTTTTTGTTTTCTTAGCATTATCTTTCAAAGAGCAAAAGTTTGACGTTTCAGTAAGTTTTAATTTGCCATTTTTAAAGCTAGTGTAGCATATTAAATAATGGTCGTATTTTATAAATCTCTTTTTATTACTTGTCAGTGTGTTAACTAAACTCATCTCAGTAGCCTCACACTAAAGATAATATTGAAAACTGAAATAATGACAGCTTAAGGTAGGGAAGAGAACAAACTCATGCATTTACTGAAATGCTGCATTTTTGTTCGTAGATTTAGCATTTCCAGGTCATGTGGCTGCCTTTAAGGGTGATTTGGAAATGCTTAAGAAATTGATAGGAGATGGAGTAATCAATTTTAATGAACGTGACAATAACGGATCAACTCTAATGCATAAAGGTGAGCTATTACATTCCTGCTTCATTTACAGTTTTGATAACAATTTCTGATGAGTCATTCAGCTTTTAAAGTAATTATGGATCAGAAACCACCCTAGTGAATATCAGTGTACATGATATGTAATACAGAATGCCCAGTGTCCAGTTCAAGTGCCACATGCCTTTTAGGATGCCAGACATTTAGACCTTACCATATTTGAGGATAAAGCCAGTCAATGACATTTCTTAGTGACATTGCTATGTTGGTGAAGATTTGAAATGCACTGTAGTTTCTGAGAAAAATAA